GTGCATATATAATAATTTGTATTCATGGCTTGAGGATAGAAAGAGAGGAATGGAGGGAAAATAGAAGAAAAGTGAATACATTTTAAACCTGGAATAGGAAATCGACAAGACCTATCGAATTGACTTAGAGTTTTATCATTGTGCAATTAACAAACAGACTTACTTGAAATCTCTAGGCGGTATTTACTGTTTTTTAAGCTCAAGTTACCATTGACGGAAGTTTTAATTCACACATGAAACCAAAAATAAAACTACTGAATTTAACCAACAAGTAAATAGATCAATAATAAAGAATTAGTTTGTGCATTATGAAGATTTTACAAAATACATAGTTGACCAAGCCAAATCATAATGTGTACAAGGAATAATCAAACTTGCCATTAGCTAGTAAGTTTGCAGCAGTCATGATATGTAGCTTACTTACATCCTCATTGACTGGTCTGACAACATGGCAAGCAATTCTAAAAATGTTCATCCTCTATTACCATCGTTGTTTAATAGTTCAACGTAATTATATTATACGACTCGCCAAGTCAGGATCAAGATAGCTACTATTAGATTTTCTGCACTAATTTCCATAGATAATGCTAGCATTTATTTTATTGATAGCTTCGTAGAGAATACTATTTATTTGTTCAAAGTGAACTCGCAAACAAATCATATGACCATTGACGCAATAAATAATTTAAACCTTTAGATCAGTTGATGTCAACTGAAGACAACTAGGTAACGTTGAGGATGGTAGTTTCTTCTCGCTTTTGGATTATTTCCCAGTAACGACCACCCATAAACCCGAATAGGATTGGAATAAGACATTTAGATATCGTGGAGAACACAGTACCTTTATAGTATTTAGTCAGAATATGTATTGGTTGGTAAGTAAATTACACATTAAGATAGAAATGAACTATTTGGTAAATTTGACCACAAAAATGTTTGCCATAAAAGAGGCAATCACTTCAACATGTCTTGAGGTTCTGGGCCACAAGAAGCACCACCACAAGGAATGGATCACTGTTGACACACTGGATAAGATTCAAGAAAGGAGGAAAAGAAAGCAGCAATCAATACCAGCCAAACAAGAGCAGAAAAAGGAAAGGCACAAGCTGAATACACAGAAGTAAACAAGCAAGTGAAGAGGAGCATCAGAACCGACAAATGTAAATATGTGGAAGATTTAGCAATGACGGCGGAAAAGGCTGTCAGAGAAGGAAATATGAGACAACTGTATGAAACAACGAAGAAACTCTCTGGAAATCACCGTAAACCAGAACGACCAGTGAAAAGCAAGGGAGGCAAGGTAATCAACAACATTGAAGAACAACGAAACAGGTGGATAGAACACTTCAAAGAACTCTTGAATCGACCAGCCCCACTGAACCCACCCAACATCGAAGCAGCACTCACGGACCTCCCAATCGATGTTGGCCCACCAACAAATGAAGAGGTCAGCATGGCTATCAGAAAAATCAAGAGTGGCAAAGCAGCAGGACTAGACAGCATTCCAGCAGAGGCACTGAAAGCAGACGTAGCGGCAACTGCAAGGATACTCCAAACTCTCTTCAGAAAGATCTGGGATGAGGAACACGTACCAAAAGACTGGAAAGAAGGACTTCTAGTCAAAATACCAAAGAAAGGCGATCTCAGAAACTGTGACAACTACAGGGGAATCACTCTTCTCTCAATACCAGGAAAAGTCTTCAACAGGGTATTGTTAAACAAGATGAAGGACTCCGTAGACCCACAACTTCGAGACCAACAGGCAGGATTCCGTAAGGATAGATCGTGCACAGACCAAATCGCAACTGTACGGATCATTGTGGAACAATCAATTGAATGGAATTCATCACTCTATATCAACTTCATTGACTACGAAAAAGCATTTGACAGTGTGGACAGAACAACACTATGGAAGCTTCTTCGACACTACAGCGTGCCTCGGAAGATAGTCAATATCATACGGAATTCCTACGATGGATTAAACTGCAAAATTGTTCATGGAGGCCAGTTGACAAAGTCGTTCGAAGTAAAGACCGGTGTTAGGCAAGGTTGCTTACTCTCACCCTTTCTCTTTCTCCTGGTGATCGACTGAATCATGAAGACCTCAACATCTGAAGGGAAGCACGGGATACAGTGGACAGCTAGGATGCAGTTGGATGATCTAGACTTCGCAGATGATCTGGCTCTTCTATCGCACACGCAACAACAAATGCAGGAGAAGACGATCAGTGTAGCAGCAGCAATAGGTCTCAATATACACAAAGGGAAAAGCAAGATTCTCCGATACAACGCAGCATGCACCAATCCAATCACAGTTAACTGAGAAGATTTGGGAGATGTACAAACCTTTACATATTTGGGCAGTATCATCGATGAACACGGTGGATCTGATGCAGATGTGAAGGCGCGGATCGGCAACGCAAGAGCAGCATATTTGCAACTGAAGAACATCTGGAACCCAAAACAATTGGCAACCAACACCAAAGTCAGAATTTTCAATACAAATGTGAAGACAGTTGTACTGTATGGGGCGGAAACCTGGAAAACCACGAAAGCTATCATCCAGAAGATACAGGTGTTTATTAACAGTTGTCTACGCAGAATACTTCGAATCCGTTGAACAGACACTATTAGCAACAACCTACTGTGGGAGAGAACAAATCAGATCCCAGTGGAGGAAGAAGCGTTGCAAGTGGATAGGACACACATTGAGGAAAGCATCGAACTGCGTCACAACACAAGCCCTCACATGGAATCCTGAAGGCCGAAGGAGGAGAGGAAGACGAAAGAACACATTACTCCGGGAAATGGAGATAGACATGAGAAAAAATGAACAAGAATTGGATGGAACTAGAAAAGAAGGCTTAGAACATAGTGGGTTGGAGAACGCTGGTCGGTGGCCTATGCTCCATTGGGAGTAACAGGCGTAAGTAAGTAATACTCATATTACTAAATGTAATGATGAGACGAGATTGATGTGATACTGCCATTATTGAAATTGACAAAAATTACTGCTAATTGTTTTTATTGGTTTATTTGTTTCTGTACATTTTAGAGATAATTAATAAGTATTCGAGATATCTAGTCTATGAGATTGAATACAATATTTAAGCAAATTATAAACAATGAATCAAATTCACCTTAGTAGTAACTTAATTCACAGTTTCATACCTGATTGACGTGGCCTATTTAGGTGAACTCATTATCTGTGTGACGATAGTAAAATAACCATCGAAATAATATATGCACCCTAGTCTACTTCGCAAGAAGGAATATCCAGAAAAATTTATAGACAACTGTATAAACCAGGCTTATGTTGTAGTGAACGAGGACTTAGGTGAGGAGAACCAATTTATTATTGAACGCAAACTTAGTTCTTTCATAAAATGTGAAAATTGTACATTATATACTTCATTTGTAAATCCTCCATTAATTCTCCTTTAAATCCTTCATGATTCTTCCCATTCTTAATTCCTTTATTTCCCTTTGTTTTCTTCAGTTCTATCTTCTCAACCTCCTGTTGCCAGGAATTCTATTTTTGACTGGTGTTACATATAACTTCAAGACTATTAGGAAGGTCTCAAATCAGTCTTTATTTTCATTTGGTTAATAAATTATAGTTCCTACGAAAGTAATCCATTGATGATTTGTGGTTCATATTATCACGATGGTGACGTTTGTTATTTTTTGGTTAGTTACTTTTGATCCTGTGACATCTCAATGTCGTTACTGTATACGGAAAAACGTTTTTCCTAATCTTTGACGTTTTGGGGGATAGTAAAGCTCTTCTGAAATTCTCATTCTCACTTTTATTCGTGTATAAATTATTAATGTTGTAGTGATATTGTGAATTAGCCGTTCATTTGATCAAGTTCCCGTCTTGTTAAAAGAATTTTTCGATCGTTCAAAACTTGGAATAAACAAATAACTATCAAATCATAACACAAGCATTACTGATATAATTAGAGTTGAGAAGTGATGGCCCAGAAGTTTGACCTTATTAGCTTATTCATCAGTGATTATGGGTTAAAATTACTTCTAAAATTTCAAATCATGTTTTTCGCGCTTTCTCAGAAAAGTTTCAGACTAAAATTATTCTCAAAAGACCTGTCACTCTCTTACAAGTTGTAATCATTTTGTTCTTACCTAGCCAGTATAAGTGTAGCTAATAATCTCGAGGTTAGACAAATAAATCCATAATGTTTTTAACAAGATACCAAAAATAAGTCAAAGGTAAATGTATCGCGAGAACTTAAGGCAGAGAGATTTGATTGATACTCTAAAAGTGAATCCCCAGTTTTTAGATAATGGATACTTGACAGCATCATTGTGCATAAATTTCGGGACAGAAAAACTTATCCTTATGTTCTGTTGAGCTTGAAATGTAATAATTGAAAAGGAGATACTTCCACTTTGATTGTTGCCGTAACAGAGTATTTAATATATATTTCATTACAGGCTGAAGAATCATAAGAAACTAGAAAACATTCTTCACCGTCCAGAAATGCATGATCTAACTTGGTAATAAAACTGTCGTAAGCACCCAGTCTTCCTCTTGATCTAATGAATTACAACTCCCTACAAAAATGATGCTACCGAATTTCCACTCAGGGTCTAAATGCTATCCTACTCTCACGAATACTAAACTTTTTAGGCTAAATGACTAGTAATTGGGCACTATTGAAAAATTTCGAACTGAAAGGAAACAGATAATCAATTCTTCTTGATTTCCAGTGATTTTTCAGCTGATGCCACAGACCATAGCTTCAATGATACTATAATACTTTAGGTACGTAATTAGAGATAGAAAAAAATGTAACTACTTTGTCAAGCGCACGTTTATGCACTCGACTTTAAGCCACATTGTTTTTGTGAGGACTAATGATAAAACATGGTTATCCAATTTGAAATAGGTGTAGCGAGGTTTAGACCTAGGGCCTACTATTGAAACACCAGCGATCTACCGAATCATAGTGCAATAACGATAATAGTCTAAGCCAGAGAACAAAAAAAACTACGTACTGATAATCCATAGTAAAAACAAAGGGTTAGTGTTAAAGTGAAGACAAAACAACTTCGCATAACATCATTATGCAATACAAAATAAGTAGCTCTAAGAGTTCGTTGATTTATCAATTAAATAATGCAAACATTTCAATATAAAGCCTTAACCTATTATCAGCATGGCTGTATATAATTGTTTACAAACCAGTGGTAAGTTTGACACCACAATACCGTACACAACACTGAATAACAAGCATTTGTCATTTATCGTATTTCACAATTTCTAAAGTTTGTTTACAAAATGAAAACAGGGTAATGAATGCATTATTCATACTAAAAGAAATCAAGAAATATTCAGAGAGTAATAATAATCAGAATAATAATAACCGACAAAACTTCACATATAATACAAAACAACTAAACTCGACTCATACAAACATACGTAATGCATAAAACGAATAGAGGTTAGGCAAACATATCAACACATAAACTGCAAAATATGACACGATTGCACACAAATGTAGTATATCAATATATTTTAAAGGAAAAACTATATTCCATAAGGGTGAATACAGATAAATATAAAGATATATAAAATCTAATAGGTGGAAAATAATTATTTATGGGATAGTTAATCTACAGTCAGTCGAACAAGTACATGTATAAGGGAAAAATACAGCTTTGTCCGAAAAGATACTGACAAAACTAGAGAAAGAGAAATAAATAAACAATGGAATAATTTAGAAGTGTAGATTTGTCGATTGTGAAGTATTTAATTTAAATCCTGATGCACGTACAGGTGTTTGACCTGGAAAGTAATGATTAGCTACACGAGCTGCTTCACGTAGACCACTTAAAAGTGCACCATGCACAGTAGCTGGATAACAACGACAAGTATGTTCACCAGCAAAAAATATACGAGGATTATTAGTGGGCATAGAAATATCATCAATTCCATGAGATTGTTCAGATGCATGATTTGTCGTTTGTTTTTCATCACTAGAACTACTAGAGTAATAAACTGGTTCACCAAGAATATCATAATCAGCACCTGTGGCTCCAACAGCAACATACGAGTAAGATCCACGTGAATATGGATCAGTTCTCCATCGTGTGACATATGCATCAATTGGCTAGAATAGATAATTAAATATGGTAAACAATTTAATTGGAGTAGGTTGATTCAAAACAAAGCAATGGTGTACAGAAATCTGTAGTATAAGACTGTCCCGTCTGTTGAATTATTACTTAAGAAAATATATCTAATCCGGTTGGATTAATACCAAATGATTAGAAAATTGATAAGCGATCATTAGTTTTTGACAAGGATATACAAAGCAGCCAACATGATGCAAGAAATGTAGTTATGATGTACAATGAATACAGTTGAATGGGCGATTCCGTACTAGAACAAGAAATAATTTCTTAATATTGTATTCATTACAACTGGAAATCGCCGACTTCCAGAGCAAGATGAAATTAATTTATTTTCATGATAACACAACACTCCTAGCATTAATAAAACTGTGTTAAAATGAGTAAAATTGGCAATAATTTCGGATGAACTCATTTCTAATCACCAAAGGTAATCTGAACGCAACGTTCTACGACTAGCTTCTTTGTATCGTTACCTATGACAGCTGTCCGAAATTTTGATACAACAGTCGGATGTTTTAAACAAAACACATCCACATATTTATTTTGTTCAAAACAGGGGACAAAAGTAACATGTGTTCTCATTATTCAGTAAAACTAATAAATAGCAGACAACTACAAAAAAGTTTCAAGTCTATGCTAAACGAAATTTAGTAGTCTACGGACCTAATTAACAATGGATGTGAAGTTTTGAAATGATTTCACTTCGACAACTAGTAAACCAACATTAGTTCAAAGTGAGATCAACAGTATAACAAATACTTCATTACATTAGTGTTTATCCTCAGAATTGCTTATTTGGATTATATTGGATAGTCTTCTAGTATTTGGAACGCCATTTATTTGGTTTTTTTTATTTAAATCATAATACTGAGATTTAATTGCATGAGAAAAAGATAAAAAATAATAAACCATATACATTTTTATTTTCAATAAATTAAACTTACATTTGGTATAACAAGTTTCTTCTTTTCTTGATTACTATGCAATCCACCATTACAATTATTACTGTTACTATTATTGTTATTGTTACTAATACTACTACTATTACTACCTTCTTGGCTGAAAATACCACGAAGAACTTGCATAGCTCGTGTAATAATAGGTTCTTTAAGTCCACGGCCTAATAGATGAAACGTTGATGTGGCAGAGTTATTGACTAATGCGTTTTGACCTTTAGATCCTGGTGATAGACGTCGTGTAGGTGAAGTTTTCTCATTTTCTAAATCACATGCAGCACGACCAGCAATTAATGCTATCAATACAGGCTTATCAGAAATTGACCAGAATAAAAATAATTCACCACGCGAATTCGTTGATTCATTCACATGTCCAAATAGATTGTGTGAACGATCCCAAAAACTCCTCTCAAATATAAGTACAACCTAGAGAACGAAAGAAGAAATAATAACGATTAACATTAAGTGAATATGGTCATTGAATTCATGTTCATCGAGGGTTACCAGCAGGACAACGGATCAACACCTAGGTTGGTTTCCTTTGTAAGGTTGAAATTTTCTGTGTTTACTCATTATATTATGATTTTCAAACACTCACTGATCAAATTTGATAAATCAATCGTCAAAACAATGCTATTTTTGTATAAGATCGATTGTATGGTTAAAATCTACACAGAGTAATCAAGGTTCGTCGTAATGTCCATTATCAACCAAAACGATGTAATGTTATAATTGAATAGATTAAAATTATAAAAAGCAAACACTTCAATGAGCAACACAAATTGGTAAAAAAAATAGTACAGTTGGATCCTCCCAATACCTTGTCTCATTGGGCCACAGAAGTATTAGGAGACAATATCTAGTCTGTGGTTATGATGAATCAATACTTAGCAAACTTTTGGGCTCCGTACATACATTTTCAACTAATGTGAAATTATGAGAGAGTGATGGAACGGTGTAAGCCGATTGGTCAAACAGCAAAACAAACTATCCAATAAAATCACTCAAACCATGTAGCAGCATGAATTGAGTTGAATAAACTACTACTACCTTTGGAGCGGACACTACTAAGAAGGATGTTTGTGAATAGTGTGTAGCAGGATGTGATGCTGAAGTTACAGCAATTGACAGACAGAGCGAAGAGTTTCACTGCGTCGACAGCATGATGTCGGTAGAGCACTTGGAAACCAGAGGAGTCAACAGTTCAGATGGCAGAATATACTTGTTATAATTCTCTCATACGGTTATAACCCAGATATCCCTATTGCTTAGTATTCTTGGACACAGATTCACTTGATAAGTCCCCAAATCAGAACACGGTTGAACAGGAAAGAGATTATATTCCAAATAACAAGGTTAGATGGAAGTGAGAAGCACAATAGGAAAAACGTTAGTATGTTTATAGTTTTTACATGAGAAGATTCCAGAGTATTCTCCAAGCATTGGCTAGCGCTGATTGAATAAGAATTAGCCAATCAGCGTGCGCCAACGCGAGCGTACAATGAGCATGATTTAATCCAATCTATGTCCCGCTAACAATACCGAAAGATGAAAATGAACGATTGAGGACTACGTATATGTAAAAGACTAATAATTGAACGAAGAATATTCTTTTCGACAAATCGTCTTCAGGTCCTACAATTATATATCCAAATCAATAATCCCTTAACATGACCATTTTTCGGATTATTAATTTGGATATATAATTGTAGAACCTGAAGAGAATTTATCAAAAAGAATATTCCACGTTTAATCATTAGTCTTTTAATATGATGGGGATCTTTAAACGACTACATATATGTGTTAAGTAAATATTTTGTAACTTCTTACAACAAATACACTTTCCTTCTGCCTATCGCCTTCTTTACATCTTGTATGGAAATAGCTTAAGATGTTAATATCTGAATAAGTTACATAACATAAATAATTTAGTAATGAACAAATATATAAAAACTAGACTTTCTAACCAACTAACACAAATCAGTGAAAATAACAGTTAACAATAAAAAATCACGGAAATCTAGTCAATCATATGAATATTATTTTTCTCTGGAAAGAAACCGATAACTCGACAATATTTAAATTTATAGGAGACAACATCTACTTATAAAATTTTACTTATGAATGGAATCGTAGCAATAAAAATATACTTTATAAAACGAACGTTTGTATACTCAAAAAAAACTAACGTTTATAGAGTAAATAAATGAAAGAATCAAACTAAAACATATTTAGGCAATTCATTTGATAAGTACAGATCCATGTTTTCATTCATGTAAGAAAGGATTAGCGCTTTAAAATGGATATAGTTGGAGCAAGCTCCAAACATGGAACCATATGGATGAAGTAAAGTTAATAATTATTCTCAACCCACATGTATTTCTAATAAGAGGTTTAAATGTTAGGTGATCGGAGACATGAATTCTCCAAATCAAACATAGTGGTAACGTGATATCAGGTCATTGGAACTAGTTATTAACAATGACCGCGTAACTGATAGTATTTGAACAATGCCAAAGGACTAGTATGGTAAAACAACGTTGGCTACTTACTTATTGATCAGTTAGTCAACATCCCTCGACAAGAAAAATATTAAATAAGATCTGATATTCTAAAATGATAGCTAACACTAGGTAAAGAGGAATAGTAAACTAGAAGTCACTAAATCGAGATAATAACACGAACAGTGTTCCCGTCGTCTTTACCTTACAAATATTAAAAGGACAATAGTAATCAAACAACAAACTCATGACATATTCGATCCTTGCTCCTGTTTCGATTTGGGAAACCGATTATTATATTCAGGCCCCGTGTATCCAGTGTACTTTAAAACTGAATGCGTAAGGTTGTATTTACAAAATGAGTAATACAATCTAAAAATATCAATATTTCACTCTGTATACATCTTTGTATTATATGTAATGCTTACCTTATTCAATACACCAAATCCTAAACGCTGAATAGCTGAAATTTTCCAATCAGGCAAACGTGGCTCAAAACGTGGTACAACTAATTTTGTAAGGCAATTGTTAGACGATTCATTTGTTGTAATTTGTGACTGATGCATGGTTGTTTCATTATCTTGTTGGATACTTTCTTTTAAGATACCTAATGGTAGAGTACAAATTAAAGCATCTGCATCATATTCAATTAAATCATCTTGACTAAATGCCGAATTAAGGACATCCACTTGAACACCTGTAAAACAAAAAGATATTTTGATTTTAAATTATACACCAAAAATCTTCCTTGTGTATATATTATACGTAAATGTTGTATAACATGATAGAATGAGAAAAGTGAAAAATATTTATATCTTGAGTAATCTTGAATTCTCTGAGCTAAGTTAATTTATTTTTCAGTAATAAATATCATAATTGAGCTTTAATAAGAACATCAACATCGAGATGCAGGTAAATTCAGATGACCAGTTTCAAATAGGAAGAAACGCTCGTTATGTATACCACTATCAGGCACAATCAAAATATTCGAAGGTGGTTAAATTATTATCTCATTACGCTGTCCAGTATGACAATGAAAGCTTAACAATTAAACCGTATTATATTATTTATTGTAAGATTTAAAAACAATCCAGCCATAACACAGACAATTAATCGGTATCATAGGATACTGATCAAGTTAAGCTTGCTGTATGACGATGTAACTCATCAGACACAGATTCATGTAATCGGTTTTGAATCACTGTTTGTGTAAAGGCTAGTAGGACTATCCAGATGTCTCAACCGATATAGGTGAAACAGGGTTTGAGCTCACGACCCACGAGTTGGATGACTGTTTTAACAGATACGGCACTGTAATATATATATATATATATATATATATATATATATATATATATATATACTCTAACACATACATGACCGAAAATTCATTGGGTAATGTAAAATTTAACCAATCATTAGGCAATCTTTACTTAAACATGATTTTTTCAACATTAGGTTTAAAATATCTTAGCTCTTTAAATTCATATAATTCGGATTTCTTCAAGAAAATTACTTACGACTGTTATCCCTCGTAGAGAAACACAAGCCGCTCACCAGCATTCTCCATATAACTGTCCTGGGCAACCCTTTCCAGTTGCCATTTATTGTTTTGATGTCTGCTTCCAATTCACGACGCAATGGTCTTTGGTCTTCCTCTTTTCTTTTTTTCCTCAGGATACCGGGCTAGGGCTTGCCTCCTAATGCAGTTTGATGATTTTCCCAATGTGTGTCCTACTCACCCCAAGTGTCTTTTTCTAATTTCCGTCAGCTGGAAGCTGATTTGTTCTCTGCAACAGTAGGTTGTTGTTGATAAATACTTGTGCTTCTTAGATTATGGTTGTAGTAGTTTTCCAAGCTTCGACTCCATGTATTTGAACTGTCTTGACATTTGTCGTAAGATTCTGACTTTGATGTTGGTTGACAATTATTTTGAGTTCCACATGTTCTTCAAATGAAGGAATTCTGCCCTAGTTTTGTCAGTCCCTGCCTTGACATTTGAATCAGATCCTCCGTGTATGTCGTTAGTGCTGCCCAGATATGTGAAAGGTTACACATCTTCCTGAGCTTCTCTGTCAAGTGTGGTTGGATTGGTGTTCTCTGTATCGCATTTCAGTATCTTTCTTCTTACCTTGTTTCTGTTGAGGCTTACTGTTGTAGATGCTGTTGCTACACTGGCTGGCTTCTTCTGCATTTGTTCGTGTGTATGGGATAGATCTAGATCATCTGCGAAGTTCAATTCGTCTAACTGCAGCCAAGCTGTCGAATGCATTCTGTACTTTCCTTGAGATTAGGAGGTCTTTATAATTCAGTCAACCACCGGAAGAAAGAGAAAGGGCAAGAGTGAACAGCCTTGTCTGACATCGATCTTCACTTGGAATACTGATGTGTGAGCGAGAACGATCATGAATGGTTGTCTACTTAGTCAGACATGTAGACAGTGTGACAGGTGTCAGATAAGTTATATATTCCCTTACCCTTATTATTGTGACTCTCTCTTATACATTGTGGATTGTGTCGGTTTTGGGTGTGAAAATATATTACGTTCTGGTCAGGCTGATTACGTGTTCTTGATCTGAGTTGTGTTGATGTCCTGTAGAATAGACACTGGGAGGGATCTAGTGTAGATAATCGTTTAAGCGTTACAACATCAGACAAAGTAATACCTTAAGTTATAACAAATGCATCAATCAGACGTGCTTTTGAGTACAGTCTTCCTGAATAGAATGTGGAGCATCTTGACAGTTGCTTCTATGTCTGACTTTAGTGTTTCGACTAGTATGTTGTCAGGTCCTGATGCTTTCCCACTCGTGATTTGTCTGATGGCCATACTGATTTCTTTGATGGTTGGTGGAGTGACAACTATAGGAAGGTCTGTGTGTGTTGTTTCGATGTCCGATGGGTTCAGTGAGTCTGGTCAATTTAAGGGTTCTTCAAAGTGGTCTACCCATCTGTTCCTCTATTCTTCAATCTCAGTGATTGGCTTGCTTTCTGTATCCTTGACGGGTCTCTCTGGTTTACTATATTTCCCTATCAGTTTCTTCGTTGTAATATAGTTGTCTTTTGATTCCATCTCTTGCAACTTTTACCACTGTCGTTGCTAGGTCCTTCACGTATTTCTGATTTTCCACCCCAATGCTCCTCTGCACTCTCTTGTTTGTTTGTGTATGTTCAGCTTGTCAGTCAGTCAGTTACAACGTAGGTCCAGGCACATACATGCATCGGTCCAAGTTGCCACACCTCATTAGCACAGCACGACGAACACCGGATTCATAGAAGCAGTTGACTCAATGGTGCAATATATAAAGGAAATATTTTATGTAAGGATATAGTACAGATACAAGGAATTAGTTCGTAGTAAGAAAGATATGAAATAATTTTAATCTCATAGTTTAAGGGAAGACAAAGAGTGTATACACCTACGCCATTGTGATTGATTCTGAGCCATGTCACCTAGAGTCTCCAACCATTGGTTACGAAAGTCGCGCGGACCCCAACCAAGTAGTCTGCATCTACCAACATGACTCAGACTAGAAGTTAGTAACTTCAAGCACTGGTGCCACGTTTTGATTTGGCCGCTCATAACTTTCTTACAACAATCCCCAACACCGGTTAACATTGCACGTCGTGGTAATCGGTGTTCAGGTATACGTAACACGTGGCCCAACCATCTCAGTTGATGAAGATTCACAATCTCATCAACTGATTTACTATCATTCCCTAATACCCTGCGTCTAACCTCACTATTACTTACCCGGTGATCCCAGCAGATGTTGGCAATATTTCTGAGGCATCTGTGGTCAAACTGTCAATGATATTTGATGAATATGAAATAATAGTCCTTAACTCTACTATCTAGTCTTCTTTTTGTTACTATTATTGAAGTAAGGACGTAAAATCACTCGATGTATAGTTAGCAATTGGATGGCAATTTATATTCACTTAAAATTTGACAAATCTATTTTACAAAATATACGAATATGAATATGGAATTTACCTGTATTAGAGTAATAAATACGTTTAACTGTACTTTTCAATTCAATATGACCAGGTCCAAGTTTATAAGTGGATAAATTCGATGACGTTGTTGTCGCTGTTACAGATGTAAGATGATTATCACGAGGTTTTAATCCAACTGTTAATGACTGACCAGATGTAATAAAATGTGCTAAATTATCAGTTACTGACCCGTAACCGTCTTGTAATACACAATGATCACCGCTTAATTCAAACAAATCATCTTGATCCCAATGACGTAATGATAGATTATGCAATTCTGTGGCATTGGCAAATTCCAAATTAGCTAAATGCCAATCAAGTATAGAACGTTCTTCTTTGGTTAAATACATATCTCTGAAAGACATGAAAGTAACCAACAGAACAAAGAACATGGATTGTATGAACAAAAAGTATGTTAATGAGAAATTCATTGAAGTAACAGAGAAAATCAGTGATAGGATGTTTGAACTTGTCCGTACTAAAACGGATCGAGTCTGTAATTGAAATAAATCCACACACTATTCATTTATACATACACAATAGTAAAGATCGATACTGGTCAAACTAAGGAATAAAACTAATAATGTGAATAGTACAAAGAGAATTAGAAAAAATATCAACTGTACTAGACAACACAAACTGGCTTTCTTCCATGACACTGAACTGAATTAAGGAAAAGTCTATTTAAAATACAAACTTATCATCATCAGGATATTCCTTCTTTGTGGCAAAAAACTTGTCCCACTTCCGTTTTCATTATGTTAAATGTCCGTGAAAGACTGTGGAATTTAGGCTGTTTAGCTGCTACGTCGTTCGGTGTTTCAACGAAATTGCATACACAAACAATTATCTCTAATTCAGCTGAGCAAAAGCCATCGGACAGCAAGTCGACAATCGTTAAGCACAAGAGACCACAGAAATCAGATGGTCATCCTAACCTCGTGTCATCGTCGTAGTCCCTACGGCTCTTACTAAACTCATCGACTTAATTGAGAAGCTCTATTTTCTTTAATGTGTTATCTCCACAAATGTTTCTTACCATTTTATGAACTTCTTGAATTATTCTCAAGTTTTAAAGAAAACCTTCATAGTCCACTTAGTGTATTTACTGAAAGGGCTATGCATTTCCAACCGTGTGATAAAGAGTGTACCATAGATTGCAGTCCCTAAAAATATGGCAATTTAATTGCATCTACTAGCTTCACATAATGTCATTTGTTTTGAGGACATCGCTATTTTAATATGTATCTAAAAATGTTGGGGAATTTGAAGAATGTTTTTAAGATGATAATTAGAAAATAGGAATAAATTAATACATTTTATATTCCTAAATTGTATTAAATAAGTAATCATTAGTAAATAAATCTTATAAGGTTCGATTAATGAGGAAATATTGTGAGCTGTTCTGTTAACGTTACTGGGATCACCAAAATACATGGTAATTTATGCTTTTTTGGAGGCTCTGATGACCTCCGGGGACATTAGTCGAAACAAAGATAAGACAAACCTATTACTACAAACAGAAAGTATTTTTAACGTAAGATTGATATACCCTAAGCTTCGTAAAATAAGGTATATATGGCGAGTTTAATGGCATAAAAGTTAGACCATAGGTGATAATAAACATCATTGTTTGTCACTAGATGTGGAAAGTAACCATAACAAATACCAATAGATTAATTATATGATACATTTTAAGTCATCAGCCTCGTATATAACATACCAGTGAAGATAAATTAATTAACTTAACTCACTTATAATGATGATGTACCTTTTTTTATTGGTTTTTCATCTAGATATGGATATATCAACTTTGGCATATTTAAAATTATATCTCCACCCTTAACACATGTGAGTTCATCTCGTACTGCTGATCCTGCTACCACTGCAAATTTCCTAGGATCGCCTATGGAAATATTATACAAATCAGATGTCCAAATAACACCCAGAAGAGCTGCAGCTGAGAAAGCTCTAGCAGCAACGCGTCGCACTAGTAATTCTCCTTTTGCCAGTACGTTACCAGTTAGTTCATCATCTACGTCACGGACAACTCCTCATTTTATTATAATTGGCGCTGGTATTTCTGGCCTGATTGCAGCAAGACAACTGACTTATTTTGGTGCCAAAGTTACTATTTTAGAATCTCGTGTATGTTTCAGTAACTACTTTCTCTGTTGTTTCTTTTAAAAAATTACAATATACTTTAACTCGATCAATTTTCTGTTGAATAAGTATATTTAATTTTAGTAAGGGTTCAATCCCTAGTGAGGTTTTTGCCACTCAGTCAGTTATCATCGAAGTAGAGTCTGTCACAGATAAGTATTAACATGAGTTGCTATATTCCGCTTTTTTAATGTTACCCTAAATGCCAATCTATGACAAATACAACCCATAGTTTAAAACATACTCTTCAAAACCTCTTCATTAATGGTAATAATAGTCCCAAAATATAATCTGTTTATGTACTTAATTTTTTCGCTACCCATTTTCTACATGTTAAAAGTGATATCAATGGAATAGACTTAATATTTCTTTCTATGTGACACGTGATTACGTCAGTAGTCGTAACAAATTTCGAGGATTCAGTTTTACAATTTGATATTACTCTTGAAATTAAATACCACTTTTATTCTTCAGGATCGTGTTGGAGGTCGAATATGGACTTGTAGAAAAGGTGGATATCAAGCTGAACTTGGGGCCATGGTTGTCACAGGTTTATGTGAGTATACAACTTCACATATGTCAAATTTTGTTCTTGCTTAAGTTTGCTTTAATTCAGTGTTTATTTGTTCCCAATATATAGAATCGTTGTCTATTCAGGATTGATTTTTCCTACATACTGTATCATTCACTCTATATCTGTAGTGATAACTCAACAATGGCAACGTCTCTGTATGCTACATTTAATAATATCCGTTCGAATATCTGGGAGAATATGCTTCCACGACGTAACAGATACGGCACTGTAATGAATGTTAGCAAATATAAAATCGGATCCCGGTGGGCTTTTTGTAATCGCTGAATACCCGTTTTTCTTAGACGAACTGTAATTATTTGTCTCAAAACTTCGATGATCGTTTACATCATACAGAATCAACAGATTTATATAGATTGATGTCAACTTAAATTGCAACTGGTGAATTGATGGTCGATGCTATCAATAATTATCTAGTCTTTCTGTAAATGTGATAGATATTTTTGAGTTAATCCAGTCTTGCTAAGAAACTCTTGGTTTGGGTTTTCTATTCGTAGTCATATTGTGATGTGTGCTACTTATGTTGACGTATAAGTAGTGTGTTACACCAATCAAAAGTGGTACGCCTGTCAAAAGAGGATTGAACTGAAAAAATACTGGAAGAGAAACAGAAAGGAATTGGAATAAAAACAGTATTGAAGGAATCATGAAGCACGTAAAGGACAACCGATGTGAGATGTGCAAATTATGTATTTGAGGTGCAGTTTTCATATTTTACGAGAGCACTGTAATTTTGCATTAAATAATAAGTTGGTCTTCCCTATCTAAGCGTTCTCCTACTACAATATTACTAATCAAATTTAGTTGTATATAGAAACATGGTCTGTAGTTAATTGTATTTTATTCAGTGTAACGTATATATCCAGAAATTGACATATTTCTTCAAAAAAGTCACAAGCACTAATACCTCAGTTTCTACCAATATCCATCGTTCGAGTTATGTGATATGTGCTATCAATAAGCTAAGTATAACGGCCATCGTTAGTCAGAGAGGTTAAAACAGATTCTTATATAAATAACTAATCAATATTTGATTATAAATTTTTAATTTAAAATTGTCTTCATTAAATTTGATTTAAACCATAAGTTACTTAATTTTCCGTACATTGGAAATTTAACCTAATTTCTAATAAGTTAATTTAGTTTACATCCCTTTTGAATTAGTATTCCAGTTGGTTTATCTGTTTCGCTCGATTTAAACAGCTTTATGTCAGTGTATAAACAATTTTGAGTTTTCACTTCCATACTATATTATTATTATTATTATTATTATTATTATTATTATTATCGATATAAAACATGACATATGATGTAAACTAAATTGATCGTCAAATATTATTAGAAAAAGATTCTATTTTATTGATTTATACCGTTTAAATTGATCAAAATAACTCAGTAATCATCATGTAAAAATATATATTTACTTCTACTTGAGTCATATTTCTTAATTTTTTTAAACATTTTGAACCAAAGAGAAGTGCGGGTTCGAATCAACAGTTTAGTTGTTAATAGTTAAATCATCTAGCCACTAAGTCACTGCTGATTCACTTAATAATTAACATATATTTGTTAACAATTCATTACTAGGTTAATTAGAATAATTCTATAATTGTTTGATAGTTTGCATAGACACAAGTAGAAAATTTTACTAAATGCAAATTTCATGAGTTATGGAAGTAATAATGGTAATGATAATAATCCCTTTTTAGTAAGTGTACCTAACAATTCTATCGTATTTTCTAAGAAAAGAAAATCCTCTTATCGCTAGTTATACATGGTCAGCAAAAAAAGTATTTTTTTCAAATCCTCATTAACCAACTGACTTGAGGTTTGATTAGCCTTTCATTTATTTTAAATTATCTGCTACTAGTAATAATACCAACAATTATTTTATCAGTATAAGTGTATTTTTCGTTTCTCTTTTAGCTGCAAATCCTGTAACTATATTGGTACGTCAATTATCACTAAATTTGCTTCCAATCAATACCGATTGCTCGCTTTATGACTCACAAGGTCATTTAATAAACCGTGATCTTGATGAACAAATTGAAGAAGAATTCAATCGTCTTCTAGGCACAGCTGCTTATGTATGCCATTCTAAAGGATTAGATTCATTAGTTCTTGATTCGGGTGTTGAAATTCCTTTATCATTAGGTCAAGTTATTGAATTGTTAATTCAGTAAGTTGTGCGTTGGATAATTTGTTTATTATTATTGCTATTATTATTTTTAATGTCTGCTTAGTAATTAACACTACATATATGGAGTTATTTTTGTATACATGAAATGTCTTATTGTTTTTCTTTTATTTAGATAAGTGAAATAGTTTAACAAGTTTTCATGTGTTCGTAAGTTTACCTTACTTGGAGATTGCCCGAATAATCTCTTTCTGATAAAAAATAAGCGGATTGAAAGTGTTTTGTGAGATGAATAGTGTTAAATTCCCAGGATTACCATACTTTCCTGTATTTCTTCTGACATTAGTTGATTATAGTTCTAAACTTAGCATGGTTATTTTCCTTGTATTATTTCAATTCGCTTAATAATGAAAACCATGCAAAACGTCTTTTTCTATGTGTAATATGTTTGTCTATCTAAATATGATGTATATCCCGTTATTGAGCTAGTTGGTGATTGGTGAGATTTTCCACTGTCGTTTGTTTCTATTTCGGCTAGAATTTTCTAGAAAAATGGCTATTCCCGAATGTCTATTGAAACTGAGAACAAAACAGCGTCATGTAGTAAAATGAGGACGGAAATCTGCTCACTAAATAAGTGAACACTTCAAACATTATTTTGTCATGAACTAAGATTGTTTACTTTAGAGTCACTACAGACCAGGCAGCATTAGATAGGTATTTCGTCGTAGTTTGAAATTTATTAGTTTTCACCTACAATCTCACATGGAATGGGACATTCGATTTTCAGCTTTTTCGATATACATATTATTCTTATTTCACTGAGTCGGATTTGTGCTATCTAAATGTAGCAGTTAATATATACAATCGGAAAATTGAGTTGGGTAGTGAAAATTGAAATTATGTGAAGTTAATATAATAAGACAAATAGATTTATAGTAGTTATATAATGAGCTACAGTTCAGAGATGGGGTACACATGATACTAAAGTAGTGGGCAACTGATGTGATTGTGTTTCATATCACTAAACGCTGTAAGTATAACTTCTTGCAACCATATTATAAGTTGATTCAACGTATTTTCAATGTGTTGTGTTTTGTTTTGTTCTTTCAAACAAGTTTGTACCAGTAGATGACTAAATGTTTGCTTACATAACTTGGTTTGCAGTTATTTTGATCAACATATTGCTGATGTGTTCATTGAGCATATTTTCGTCAAATTTTAAGATCTTATCGAAATACAAATTTTATATTCTCTTTGTAATAAGCTAGAACTTTTATTTATTATTATTTTTGATCGAGTGTTTGGATTATTTTCTTGTGTGGTTCTCTAAGTAGATCATGGTTCTATTTTTTTTTTAACAGTGTGTTTAGCTCCATTTCTTCTTAGTAAAGGTCTTTACTTTCAGAGATCTAATCATTTATATACCATTAGGTTGTATGATGTGTAAGGCAGTTTCGTATTCTGTCAAATTGACATTCTTAAATGAATTCACCAAAAATAATTAAATTATTTTCTTCCTCATTTTTAAAATCCATCGTTTGAACCTTCACACCATTAATTTATTCGTATAATCTAAAATTTGATATTCCCGAAAATGTTTATTCTATAGTTATAGATTTTTATATATAAACCAGCTGTGATTAAAAGTGCATGTTACTGAAGAACATATATAAGATTCTCAATTTCTTTACACTTGTCAATTTAATTTTACAAACTCCTTCTGGTTATTAAAATTTTCTGTAATGAAAACGCCCCCAAATGCCCTGGTGCGGCCAAGAGTGGGGAGAGTCCGCTCTCCCTCTCGAAATGCTCTCACATGGCCACGCGTATATAGCCTCTGCCACAGAAGTTCTACTCACTGCCTTCTCGTGGTAGGGGTGTTGTTCACGAAATTGAGAGGACGAAGAGCGAATGTCCGGCAATTTAAACGGGTTGGTGGACACAGAGAGTCCACCTAGGGGAGTTGGAAAACCCTGATTCCAAACCAATGGTTCACATGGGCTCCAGTATCCTGAAGGAACAAATGGCGTATGAACCAATCGTTGGTCACCGGCTACCATGGGACTGCATCTCCTTACGATGCTCCACTGCCTTGTGGGTCAGACATTCAGGTCGAAGACCTCGGGTGTAGCCCCCTAAGAAAACCACTTGCTTCGGTTTGGACACACGGACAGTATCATAGCCCTCACACATATCAAATGAGATCTGTGTGGTGCATATGTATTTGCTGCCTCCTTGTACCAATATTTATGTGTCAAAATAAATAAATAATGAATAATTACACTTCAAATCTTGTTTTCCTATAATGATTTGGTCGTTCGGTTTCTCTCTGATTTCACTGTTTTATTGTAAACAATAAAAATTTAAATGAACCAATGACCTTAAGTCCTATGATATTTCAGTCAGTTAGTCAATCGATCGATCAAAGTAACATTGAAGATATATGATTGTCTTCAAGTCATATGATTTTGTATATAATGAATAGTGATACAACCCTGGGAGGAGTTGACCAAATCGAAATGGATAGACGCGGAGGTAGTATTTAAGACTGTGACTCGATAGTTGAGCACTTTACAAACATTAAGCACAATAAAACTAAGAAATATTTAATAATGAAGTTTATCAGATAAAAATTTACACATGCAGTTTTAAGCCATACTAGCCGTATATAAGCTGGTCAAAGTAAAATGGATTGTTTTAAAAAGTTTACTCGGAAAAATTACTGTATTGAACTCTCAGTTGAGCATCTTAAATTAAGCTTAGATTTATACAGAAGTCGAAAATAGGTTCCCTTTGTTGGTAGTTTTATTGTGTGTGTGATTCCTCTCCTAAGCTGGGGGGAGATGGGAATCAAGTATATAATTTTTGTCAGGACATTTCCAAAATATATTAATTTTTAAGAAAACCAAAATTTGTCATATGTCTATTCAGACTAGGCAAAAAAGTTAATATAATGCTATTTATAAAGTAAAATCTTGTGGTTCTTGAGATTTACGTTTAAAATGAATAAAAAGATTGATTTCCTCACTCTATCAGTGAGTTTCTTCAGTCTTTGCATAATAACTATATTTCCTGAGATATTTTTAGAGGACTTTTTAATGAAAATACTAAACCATGAATGACATGGCCAGAGTTGTACAGATTCGTCATTTTAGTGAATATATATATATATATATATATATATATATATATATATATATATATATATATATATGGTGTAGTTTTGCATTAAAAAATAAATTGGTTGTCCCCACCTGAGTTCTCTTTCATAACATACGTATATATGTACGTACATACATAATTATTGGCTATACTGATCAAATTAATTTCACGGTTCAACAAATCTGAATAATCTTATTTCAAAGTTCAATAATGTGTCAATTCATATTTCTTAATTAAGTGACATCTATACTAATGGAGGGAGTGTTGAGCAGATTTTAAATTTGTAACCTAATAATAGCGGCTGGATATTTCGATCAAAGCTGAATGCTATCTGTATCGTATGCATAGTTATTATTCTTGTCTATGAAAGTTGTAGAACTAATAAAGCCCACTGAACATATGCGAAATAAATATCTACATAGCTTTTACCAATCTTTACAATTATGTATAATGAAATTACTCTTATTACTTGTAGCCAGTTTATGACAAGTAACATTAAGTCTTTTTTCATTGAACCAGTAGTGAAGTAAAACAGGTTTATATTGATAGCTTGCCTGATAAATACTCCAGCGGAGGTATTTAAGTTTCCTTTAAAACTTAAGCATAAATTACCATGTATTTTGGTGATCCCAGTAACGTTAACAGAACAGCTCACAATATTTCCTCATTAATCGAACCTTATAAGATTTATTTACTAATGATTACTTATTTAATACAATTTAGGAATATAAAATGTATTAATTTATTCCTATTTTCTAATTATCATCTTAAAAACATTCTTCAAATTCCCCAACATTTTTAGATACATATTAAAATAGCGATGTCCTCAAAACAAATGACATTATGTGAAGCTAGTAGATGCAATTAAATTGCCATATTTTTAGGGACTGCAATCTATGGTACACTCTTTATCACACGGTTGGAAATGCATAGCCCTTTCAGTAAATACACTAAGTGGACTATGAAGGTTTTCTTTAAAACTTGAGAATAATTCAAGAAGTTCATAAAATGGTAAGAAACATTTGTGGAGATAACACATTAAAGAAAATAGAGCTTCTCAATTAAGTCGATGAGTTTAGTAAGAGCCGTAGGGACTACGACGATGACACGAGGTTAGGATGACCATCTGATTTCTGTGGTCTCTTGTGCTTAACGATTGTCGACTTGCTGTCCGATGGCTTTTGCTCAACTGAAGTAAAGATAGACATTATTTGTGGAAATTACATTTGAAATAATCCCAGAGATTGAAATTTTAATGATTCTAGCGTTCCGTCCACCAAACTTGTCTCTATATTCGGCACTCAATTTTTGTTAAAATATTCGTTCTAATATTGATGAATATTCGTATGAATTAGAGATATTTGTCTGTGCATGCAATTTTATTGAAACACCAAATGACATAGCAGCTAGACAGCCTAAATTCAATAGTCTTTTAAGGATGCTTCAAATAATGAGAACAATCTAAAATTACCAGATCTTATAATCATTTAACATATTATATAGCTGCATGTACTTACTTCGGTGGTTCTTGAAGTAATATATCTAATTGCTTATTGACTTGAGACAGGGCAATTTGAAGTGGTTGAAATTTCTTCCAAGCTTCATGTAAATGACTAAGTAACTGACGAACTTCGAATTGAGCGCTAACATTAAATACTGGTAACGAAGGACGTTGAGATAGATCAGTAGCGGAGGATAATCTTACCGGATGGTTATCAGCTGATCTGGTGAAATAGTCACGAAAATTGAAAAAAAAAAACAATTAGAGGAATCACCAAGGTATATGTTATGTAAAACAAATTGTCATAATACATTTACTGTTAAATATCAACCATTCAAATTATTAATATTGATATCCCGAGATTTTGCATATTAGTTGCCCTTTTATTATTTTTATGCACTCAGAAATGTGTGGCCAGAAGCGGTAGTTTTAGATGCGCTATTGGGGACTTGAACTCAGCCCCTTAAAACTGCATTCCTACTGGCTGAATCACAATGCCACTTTAAGGTACTGCGTAAATAACTATGTGTTTTTTATTGTTTCCTTCACTATCTAAGTCATTTATTTTTTCAACTTTTATTAGTTGGATTTAATAATAATCCAGGATACTATGAACCTGAGCTGTAAGGTTGGGCTATATGAGTTGTTTGGTGGGACTCAGAGTAGCAGCTTGTTAAATAACATAACACTTATTAGTATTTCTATATTTCATTTTTTAATAGCTACAATAAATTAGATATAAAATTTTCGTTCATTTTTGTAGTATGAATATCACAGCTGTGAGAAATTTATTAGGATTTGTAATTTACCATACGCTGTAGGTTTGTAATTCAGTTGAATACTGTAAATCATGAATCGCTAGAGGCCACCGGCCTTATATTCTACTGTTGTACGCGACCGGATGTACTGAATGAGAAATTTCACAGTGTACTACATCCAGCTTCATTTAGCAAGAACAACATATGCAAAAAAACTCTACTTGAACAAACAGACTTCGTCTATTTACTTTTATGCAAATATTTATGTATTACAGTTGCATACATATAGACTGAAAGAAAGTCAAAAACTTTTTAATACGTGGCGAAAAAGTCAACAATAAAATTAACTATGTGCAAACATAATCATCATAGATCTCGAAATGAATTTCATTAATAATAACCAGTAAGCGATGTATGGAACGAAGAAGGAGAGTCAATAGAAATTATGATCAATTATTGATTACTTTTGTGATCCATTTGATGAAGCTGATTCAATGACTAGTTTTCCATCTAGTTCAGTACTACTGGAACGAGGTGAACATGATGATGAATCATTGCGTACACGAGATTTATTTTGTGTAAGATTTTGTGTTTTAGACTGTTGAGCATAGTGATGGATTGGTGACGATTGGTTATTTAATGCTTTTGATGCTGAATGCCACTTTTCATAAGCTGCTTCAATATTTTTACGTTCAATAACCATCTATGGAAAAGAAATAAAGATTTGTACAAGATCTAGCCAAAAGTGGCTATGAATGTGGAAGACTGCAATTGATAGATTGGACATAACTCAAGAACGGTAAGTAGTATAATAATAGTTTATAGGTCAAAATAAAGCTTGTTATAAGAGGAGTATAGATATACATAATTTAGCCACTGAATAGTTATACATTAAGAATACACGTATAATATTTGTCCATAGATAGTTATCAAAAGTTACCATTCATAATTCTCGTCCGGATATTAAAAAAACCTATCTAATTTTGACTTTTCTTCCCTTCATATCAGTAATCAAACCAAAGGCTAGCTGTGGTATGGATTTTGACTATACATATGGTGTAAAGTTCACAAATACCCAAGTAAACTATCCGTTAATTAGTTGAGATTTTAATTACAAATTTATGAATCAGTGATTACTAACCAAAGACAGGTATCTACCAACCGATCTGACATTTCTTGTATGCAACAAAGTAGAGTTTAAACATTAAGTCCATGAATTTTACTAGCATGAAGTAATGTAATGATATATGGGTCAGTAAAACTTTAACAATTTGTAACAAATGTAAAAGAGAAAGCCTAGTTTTTCGCAAGAGAACTTTCACTACCCATAGAATGGATAAGTTCATTTTAAACGTTGTCTGTATATAAAATTGCAAACGACCTTGGAATAAATAGGACAAGGAAACGTATTGAGGGAATAGAAAAAGTCGTCGTAGGAAATATAAATTACCGACTCGTAGAAAAACTTTGGCCCATAAAACTAAGGATTCGAATTGCGAAACTAGAAATAGATCATTTCCGAAGACTGTCGGATTGGTATTAAATATAGCTACTTAATTACTTATTTACTTACTCCCGTTACTCCTTCTAGAAGAGCATATCCCGCCCATTAAGTATAGCTAAGTATAGGTTAACTCAGTTGTTGTTAGGTAATAGCTCTTCATTTGTAAAATTTACCATACGAGAATAAAACGAAAGATCGGCATTTTATAAATCGGTACAACGATATATTAAGACCTCTAATTACATTCAAATATGTACTTCATCAATTCTTCTACATCCAAAAGGCGTGGAACGATTAAACACTCCAATATGAGGTCGATAATTTATGTAATGAAAGTGTCATAGTGTAAAAGTAAAACCAGAATGTTTTTTATTAAGTTTTTACAAAAAGGAATTCAAGTGAAACTTTAGATCGAAGACGGAGAACTACATGGAGCCGCATTTGTTGACGCCTACTTCAATAAATACACGAATAGAAATTGTATATACATTTAAATAAAACAAGTAGCATATATATGATATTTATTTACTGATTAACAAGTCGCTTTCACTAATTTCGATGCAGACAATCGACAACTAACTGGTATAACTTATGAAATACTAAAATAAAATAATCTATATAATCGCATAAAACAGTGGTGATTTTCATCTCAAGTTTTATCTAGATGTGCATTGATCAAGTCACTCAAATACTCAGTTATGATACGTTTATTATCATTTTTTAAAAACATATGGGTCGTTAACTTGTTCTACGTGGACAAAAATCCTGAGAGAAAAAGAGTAAAGGTATTAACTTCATTAAATACAAATAAACAAGAAAGCTATTAAAATCGGTTGTTTAATTGTAAATATGCAGGAATTAGAATCAAAAACATGCATTACATCAATTAGAAGTCACATTGACAAGTTCAACAGGGAAATACATACAAATTTCTAAGGTGCAAAGTCGATTGTTATACAGAGTTCAAATTAGAGGTATAAGCTTTAAATCATTATAAATTAAAAATGTAGCGATCGTTATTATATGGTTTACGTCATCTACGGAGTACGAGTGTATGTACTCAGATATTTAATTCATAATTTTTGTATAGGGACTGATGATGCTAATTAGCTGTCCAAACAGAAATAGGTAGAGTTGGATTAAAACTTACAATTTCTTGATTATAAGGACGGTTGTTTAAATTCCTAGGCAACCATTTCACTGATTACAATGAGAAATAAAGGAAATTGAATATAATTTTCACATGAACTTTAATTTCTAATGGGAGAAAGAGCATATACATACTTGCTCAATCAATTAGTTAATTAATTTTGCAGTGAGTAGAACAATAAATTAAGAAATATGCCATTTTTCCTACCCTAAAAGTTCTTCCCAAACCGGCTATCGGATATGAAACTAAAAGTCTGGGTAAAAAAACACATATTCGTCTGAATATAAGTCGAAATTTCTTTACATTAATTTACAGGATTCCATCTACGTTTGAAGAGGTGATCGGAAAAAAAAACAAGAGACAGAAAGATCTCGTCCACATCAATGAATGGTCAGTTTGAAAAACCAATATTTATTATTTCTTCAATAATTCGTGCAAAAATAATAAATTGTGGTAATATCAATATCATGGGATACAATCAATTCTTTTTTTAATACACTCATCCTTCTTTTTTTATTGACTCACCTGATCTAATAGAGAATTTTTGCGATCTAATAATTGTGAGATTAATTTACGATGTGTAATTTTCAACTGTATTTTATGCTTTTCTTGATATCTATAATTTTTTAAAAAAGAGGATAAGAATTATAGAAATTTCCTGAGAAAATAGAAAACAAGTTATTATTATGACAACAATAGGAGGCTTTGAACATATGAAGAAAAATATAGTTGTGGTAATACGAAGAAAAAGAAGAATATAACAAGTGTGTTTTGTACAGACTTGTATAATTTTCATTAAGAACTGTCATCCAATTATAATTGAAAGGAACCAATGAAAACTGGGGAGAATCGAACAAATGGTTTATCCAAATATAGGACATCTCGATGATGTGTATGAATCTACAACTACATAGACGAGATCGAACCCAATAAGTCATCATGAAGTTGAATCAAATGGTCAACATTTTTAACATCAACTAATTTTGTGATGTAGCATAGCTCTTATCTAATGTAACAGGTGGCACATCGTCGTACTATCAACTGTTTGTTTACCCTAAACACAGGTCAAAACATTCAACTGCCATAATATTAAAAAATCATTTTGTATGCGTGCTAAAGAATATTGACCCTTACGAGAACATGGTGATTTATTTTACTTGCAATTATAGTGGTGCTTACTGGTGTCAAAATAGAACTAAACGGCTATTTAGTACACTTTTCAATGATTCTCTACTTAAATTTCACTCAATGAAGAGAATTATATTCAAAAATTAAACTATGACGGGATTATAATTATTGTTCCTAACGAAAAATAATAATAACAATGTTATGTTAATTAATAGAAATTATTACATGAAATTATAAAAAAAGTAGAAATAATCAAATGAAAACTGTCAAAGTTCACTTTTATGTAGTACACTTAATCTGTTCTGAATTTATCATTAATATTGGACACGTATTAAAGTAAGTATTATATTCCTACCTTTGACTAACCTTAAAAGAACTACTTAATTTTTACAATGAACAAATAAATTTGAACACTATGCTTATTTGATAACATAGTAAAACTACAGTTAAGTTCGAAAGTACTGAAATGTATACTGTGTTTACTTTCTGAACAAAATATTCTAAAATACAGGGCACCACTAGGTTTGAGCTTCAGTGTTAGTATAAACACAAAGATGTGAATACATCCAAATGACGAGAATCATAAATGGTAAATGCTAGCCAGATTTTATTTAAAATAAATTCAAGTCAATTGGTTGTACTTAATTACTTAAATGTAATGTTAATAATATTCTCAAAATGACTTCTGTTAGACGTTCTGGCCATATCCTTAAACTTAGTCGAGATGATTTTGCTTTAAGGATTACAGTATTTTATTTCAGATGACAGTTTTCATTACATATTTTTATTTATTTTATTTTAACACATAGATATTGGTACAAGGAGGCAGCAAATACATATGCACCACACAGATCTCATTTGATATATGTGAGGGCTATGATACTGTCCGTGTGTCCAAACCGAAGCAAGTGGTTTTCTTAGGGGGCTACACCCGAGGTCTTCGACCTGAATGTCTGACCCACAAGGCAGTGGAGCATCGTAAGGAGATGCAGTCCCATGGTAGCCGGTGACCAACGATTGGTTCATACGCCATTTGTTCCTTCAGGATACTGGAGCCCATGTGAACCATTGGTTTGGAATCAGGGTTTTCCAACTCCCCTAGGTGGACTCTCTGTGTCCACCAACCCGTTTAAATTGCCGGACATTCGCTCTTCGTCCTCTCAATTTCGTGAACAACACCCCTACCACGAGAAGGCAGTGAGTAGAACTTCTGTGGCAGAGGCTATATACGCGTGGCCATGTGAGAGCATTTCGAGAGGGAGAGCGGACTCTCCCCACTCTTGGCCGCACCAGGGCATTTGGGGGCGTTTTCATTACAGAAAATTTTAATAACCAGAAGGAGTTTGTAAAATTAAATTGACAAGTGTAAAGAAATTGAGAATCTTATATATGTTCTTCAGTAACATGCACTTTTAATCACAGCTGGTTTATATATAAAAATCTATAACTATAGAATAAACATTTTCGGGAATATCAAATTTTAGATTATACGAATAAATTAATGGTGTGAAGGTTCAAACGATGGATTTTAAAAATGAGGAAGAAAATAATTTAATTATTTTTGGTGAATTCATTTAAGAATGTCAATTTGACAGAATACGAAACTGCCTTACACATCATACAACCTAATGGTATATAAATGATTAGATCTCTGAAAGTAAAGACCTTTACTAAGAAGAAATGGAGCTAAACACACTGTTAAAAAAAAAATAGAACCATGATCTACTTAGAGAACCACACAAGAAAATAATCCAAACACTCGATCAAAAATAATAATAAATAAAAGTTCTAGCTTATTACAAAGAGAATATAAAATTTGTATTTCGATAAGATCTTAAAATTTGACGAAAATATGCTCAATGAACACATCAGCAATATGTTGATCAAAATAACTGCAAACCAAGTTATGTAAGCAAACATTTAGTCATCTACTGGTACAAACTTGTTTGAAAGAACAAAACAAAACACAACACATTGAAAATACGTTGAATCAACTTATAATATGGTTGCAAGAAGTTATACTTACAGCGTTTAGTGATATGAAACACAATCACATCAGTTGCCCACTACTTTAGTATCATGTGTACCCCATCTCTGAACTGTAGCTCATTATATAACTACTATAAATCTATTTGTCTTATTATATTAACTTCACATAATTTCAATTTTCACTACCCAACTCAATTTTCCGATTGTATATATTAACTGCTACATTTAGATAGCACAAATCCGACTCAGTGAAATAAGAATAATATGTATATCGAAAAAGCTGAAAATCGAATGTCCCATTCCATGTGAGATTGTAGGTGAAAACTAATAAATTTCAAACTACGACGAAATACCTATCTAATGCTGCCTGGTCTGTAGTGACTCTAAAGTAAACAATCTTAGTTCATGACAAAATAATGTTTGAAGTGTTCACTTATTTAGTGAGCAGATTTCCGTCCTCATTTTACTACATGACGCTGTTTTGTTCTCAGTTTCAATAGACATTCGGGAATAGCCATTTTTCTAGAAAATTCTAGCCGAAATAGAAACAAACGACAGTGGAAAATCTCACCAATCACCAACTAGCTCAATAACGGGATATACATCATATTTAGATAGACAAACATATTACACATAGAAAAAGACGTTTTGCATGGTTTTCATTATTAAGCGAATTGAAATAATACAAGGAAAATAACCATGCTAAGTTTAGAACTATAATCAACTAATGTCAGAAGAAATACAGGAAAGTATGGTAATCCTGGGAATTTAACACTATTCATCTCACAAAACACTTTCAATCCGCTTATTTTTTATCAGAAAGAGATTATTCGGGCAATCTCCAAGTAAGGTAAACTTACGAACACATGAAAACTTGTTAAACTATTTCACTTATCTAAATAAAAGAAAAACAATAAGACATTTCATGTATACAAAAATAACTCCATATATGTAGTGTTAATTACTAAGCAGACATTAAAAATAATAATAGCAATAATAATAAACAAATTATCCAACGCACAACTTACTGAATTAACAATTCAATAACTTGACCTAATGATAAAGGAATTTCAACACCCGAATCAAGAACTAATGAATCTAATCCTTTAGAATGGCATACATAAGCAGCTGTGCCTAGAAGACGATTGAATTCTTCTTCAATTTGTTCATCAAGATCACGGTTTATTAAATGACCTTGTGAGTCATAAAGCGAGCAATCGGTATTGATTGGAAGCAAATTTAGTGATAATTGACGTACCAATATAGTTACAGGATTCGCAGCTAAAAGAGAAACGAAAAATACACTTATACTGATAAAATAATTGTTGGTATTATTACTAGTAGCAGATAATTTAAAATAAATGAAAGGCTAATCAAACCTCAAGTCAGTTGGTTAATGAGGATTTGAAAAAAATACTTTTTTTGCTGACCATGTATAACTAGCGATAAGAGGATTTTCTTTTCTTAGAAAATACGATAGAATTGTTAGGTACACTTACTAAAAAGGGATTATTATCATTACCATTATTACTTCCATAACTCATGAAATTTGCATTTAGTAAAATTTTCTACTTGTGTCTATGCAAACTATCAAACAATTATAGAATTATTCTAATTAACCTAGTAATGAATTGTTAACAAATATATGTTAATTATTAAGTGAATCAGCAGTGACTTAGTGGCTAGATGATTTAACTATTAACAACTAAACTGTTGATTCGAACCCGCACTTCTCTTTGGTTCAAAATGTTTAAAAAAATTAAGAAATATGACTCAAGTAGAAGTAAATATATATTTTTACATGATGATTACTGAGTTATTTTGATCAATTTAAACGGTATAAATCAATAAAATAGAATCTTTTTCTAATAATATTTGACGATCAATTTAGTTTACATCATATGTCATGTTTTATATCGATAATAATAATAATAATAATAATAATAATAATAATATAGTATGGAAGTGAAAACTCAAAATTGTTTATACACTGACATAAAGCTGTTTAAATCGAGCGAAACAGATAAACCAACTGGAATACTAATTCAAAAGGGATGTAAACTAAATTAACTTATTAGAAATTAGGTTAAATTTCCAATGTACGGAAAATTAAGTAACTTATGGTTTAAATCAAATTTAATGAAGACAATTTTAAATTAAAAATTTATAATCAAATATTGATTAGTTATTTATATAAGAATCTGTTTTAACCTCTCTGACTAACGATGGCCGTTATACTTAGCTTATTGATAGCACATATCACATAACTCGAACGATGGATATTGGTAGAAACTGAGGTATTAGTGCTTGTGACTTTTTTGAAGAAATATGTCAATTTCTGGATATATACGTTACACTGAATAAAATACAATTAACTACAGACCATGTTTCTATATACAACTAAATTTGATTAGTAATATTGTAGTAGGAGAACGCTTAGATAGGGAAGACCAACTTATTATTTAATGCAAAATTACAGTGCTGTCGTAAAATATGAAAACTGCACCTCAAATACATAATTTGCACATCTCACATCGGTTGTCCTTTACGTGCTTCATGATTCCTTCAATACTGTTTTTATTCCAATTCCTTTCTGTTTCTCTTCCAGTATTTTTTCAGTTCAATCCTCTTTTGACAGGCGTACCACTTTTGATTGGTGTAACACACTACTTATACGTCAACATAAGTAGCACACATCACAATATGACTACGAATAGAAAACCCAAACCAAGAGTTTCTTAGCAAGACTGGATTAACTCAAAAATATCTATCACATTTACAGAAAGACTAGATAATTATTGATAGCATCGACCATCAATTCACCAGTTGCAATTTAAGTTGACATCAATCTATATAAATCTGTTGATTCTGTATGATGTAAACGATCATCGAAGTTTTGAGACAAATAATTACAGTTCGTCTAAGAAAAACGGGTATTCAGCGATTACAAAAAGCCCACCGGGATCCGATTTTATACTTGCTAACATTCATTACAGTGCCGTATCTGTTACGTCGTGGAAGCATATTCTCCCAGATATTCGAACGGATATTATTAAATGTAGCATACAGAGACGTTGCCATTGTTGAGTTATCACTACAGATATAGAGTGAATGATACAGTATGTAGGAAAAATCAATCCTGAATAGACAACGATTCTATATATTGGGAACAAATAAACACTGAATTAAAGCAAACTTAAGCAAGAACAAAATTTGACATATGTGAAGTTGTATACTCACATAAACCTGTGACAACCATGGCCCCAAGTTCAGCTTGATATCCACCTTTTCTACAAGTCCATATTCGACCTCCAACACGATCCTGAAGAATAAAAGTGGTATTTAATTTCAAGAGTAATATCAAATTGTAAAACTGAATCCTCGAAATTTGTTACGACTACTGACGTAATCACGTGTCACATAGAAAGAAATATTAAGTCTATTCCATTGATATCACTTTTAACATGTAGAAAATGGGTAGCGAAAAAATTAAGTACATAAACAGATTATATTTTGGGACTATTATTACCATTAATGAAGAGGTTTTGAAGAGTATGTTTTAAACTATGGGTTGTATTTGTCATAGATTGGCGGAATATAGCAACTCATGTTAATACTTATCTGTGACAGACTCTACTTCGATGATAACTGACTGAGTGGCAAAAACCTCACTAGGGATTGAACCCTTACTAAAATTAAATATACTTATTCAACAGAAAATTGATCGAGTTAAAGTATATTGTAATTTTTTAAAAGAAACAACAGAGAAAGTAGTTACTGAAACATACACGAGATTCTAAAATAGTAACTTTGGCACCAAAATAAGTCAGTTGTCTTGCTGCAATCAGGCCAGAAATACCAGCGCCAATTATAATAAAATGAGGAGTTGTCCGTGACGTAGATGATGAACTAACTGGTAACGTACTGGCAAAAGGAGAATTACTAGTGCGACGCGTTGCTGCTAGAGCTTTCTCAGCTGCAGCTCTTCTGGGTGTTATTTGGACATCTGATTTGTATAATATTTCCATAGGCGATCCTAGGAAATTTGCAGTGGTAGCAGGATCAGCAGTACGAGATGAACTCACATGTGTTAAGGGTGGAGATATAATTTTAAATATGCCAAAGTTGATATATCCATATCTAGATGAAAAACCAATAAAAAAAGGTACATCATCATTATAAGTGAGTTAAGTTAATTAATTTATCTTCACTGGTATGTTATATACGAGGCTGATGACTTAAAATGTATCATATAATTAATCTATTGGTATTTGTTATGGTTACTTTCCACATCTAGTGACAAACAATGATGTTTATTATCACCTATGGTCTAACTTTTATGCCATTAAACTCGCCATATATACCTTATTTTACGAAGCTTAGGGTATATCAATCTTACGTTAAAAATACTTTCTGTTTGTAGTAATAGGTTTGTCTTATCTTTGTTTCGACTAATGTCCCCGGAGGTCATCAGAGCCTCCAAAAAAGCATAAATTACCATGTATTTTGGTGATCCCAGTAACGTTAACAGAACAGCTCACAATATTTCCTCATTAATCGAACCTTATAAGATTTATTTACTAATGATTACTTATTTAATACAATTTAGGAATATAAAATGTATTAATTTATTCCTATTTTCTAATTATCATCTTAAAAACATTCTTCAAATTCCCCAACATTTTTAGATACATATTAAAATAGCGATGTCCTCAAAACAAATGACATTATGTGAAGCTAGTAGATGCAATTAAATTGCCATATTTTTAGGGACTGCAATCTATGGTACACTCTTTATCACACGGTTGGAAATGCATAGCCCTTTCAGTAAATACACTAAGTGGACTATGAAGGTTTTCTTTAAAACTTGAGAATAATTCAAGAAGTTCATAAAATGGTAAGAAACATTTGTGGAGATAACACATTAAAGAAAATAGAGCTTCTCAATTAAGTCGATGAGTTTAGTAAGAGCCGTAGGGACTACGACGATGACACGAGGTTAGGATGACCATCTGATTTCTGTGGTCTCTTGTGCTTAACGATTGTCGACTTGCTGTCCGATGGCTTTTGCTCAGCTGAATTAGAGATAATTGTTTGTGTATGCAATTTCGTTGAAACACCGAACGACGTAGCAGCTAAACAGCCTAAATTCCACAGTCTTTCACGGACATTTAACATAATGAAAACGGAAGTGGGACAAGTTTTTTGCCACAAAGAAGGAATATCCTGATGATGATAAGTTTGTATTTTAAATAGACTTTTCCTTAATTCAGTTCACGCGTTTGTTTGAAAGAATACGTCGATGACGTGTAGTCTTGTCGTACTAATTTGAATGTTTCAAAGAGTTTTATGTTTTTAAATAATGTTGAAAACTTTACATTTGAAGACTAATGACAAAATTCGAAGTTTCCAATGATTTTCCGAAAAATAAAAGATTTCCCCCGATAGACAATACAAGCCTTTTAAGTTAACAGAACTAAGGGAGGACGTTAAACATTTATTGTATATTATTTACCAGTTAAAATTCATACCAATGTGAGGGTAAAACCTAAAAATCACAATGTTAATTTAGTGGCATTCAGCATAATGAGGAATGTGTGTGCCCCCAAATGCCCTGGTATGGCCGAGAGTGGGGAGAGTCCGCTTACCCTCTCGAAATGCTCTCACATGGCCGCGCGTATATAGCCTCCGTTAGGGAATTCCTAATCATTGCCTTCTCGTGGCGGGGGTGTTGTTTACGAAATTGAGAGGACAAAAAGCGAATGTCCGGATAGGTTTTTAAATACTATTTAATTTTGTAAACTACCAGTCTACTATTTTTCTGACGCAGGATTATTTTTTAAATGTATTCAAGCAGTTTCTAGAAGCTGTATGATACTTCTATACCACCCATGTAAGGAACGTACTTCATCCTAAAACCAGGTTTTAGCTAGCAACAAACGTAGATTATACAAGTATTATTTTAAATTTAGTGCCTTTGTGGTTCAACTAAAAGATTATGTGATACTTATCGCCGGTACATTAACAGGCCTGTTGACACTTCTGATTTAAGTCAAGTTAAATATTTACTTATTTTTGTCCTGGTAGCCTCATGAACAATATCTTGTCATATATCACACTAGTTAAGTCGTATGTGAAGAATAGACCAATTTGCATGGCCAGTACGGTAGGCGAGATCTATATATAGTCAGGGGTATTCGATTAACGTGAAACATGGTTAGGCAAGGTATGAGTAAGATACGCGGAAAAATTTAAAGTTGCTACATGAACTATGATCAGGAGTCGAGAAGCAACTTAAAATATGGTTTAAAGGAATTACTGGTAAGAGCATAAATACAGGCGAAATGGGTTTTAAAGGATAAAAAGGAGATACCTCTCACCTTTCCAAGAACAAAACAGCTAAATAAGTCATCCGTTCCAAATTTGCTTTTGCAGTAGGCGTACCCCAGGGTGAGTAATTACTTGGAAGAGTTAAACTTGTTAGATGGCGTTGAAGAGATCGAGAAAGCTCTTTGCTATGTCTGACGCGACCGATACCAGAAGTATTTTCCTCACAAACAGAAGAAGCAGACGAATTGGATCCTTGGTGTACTGGAAAAGGAGCAGTCAAACCAGAATCGATCATCACCCGTAGATTCTCGACTGACATATTATTCACCACGTATGTGAACAACCTATTAGGCGTAACCTGAGTACACGAGTCTTCTGACCACATTAAACACTGCAAAAGAATTTATTGAACAAAACAATCTTCAGCATAGACATAATTATCATTTAATTTCCAATATACGATTAAACACCAATCCACAGAAAATCAGAAAATCCGGACTGGAAGTCATCACCTAGAAAACACTATACTATGTTATCATTTTAAAAATTTGGCGTCGTTTCTCAGTTAGGATATAAGACAAGAAATCTTATTAGTCTTTGGAAGAGTAAAACTTAATACACATTGTAAACAAGGGAATTACTCAAAAGGTTACCATAGTTATGATGTCTTTTTATTCACATAAAGATATGACCAAGACGTGGTTCAAAATACAAATTAACTCGTTAAATAGAGAACACCTTGACGAATAAAGCCTCCAAGTCACAAAAACGTACTACATCATAGTATTAGAACGCTGCCCCGGCAGCAAAATTTATGATACATAAATGCAGATCACCACCTCGATTCCGGACAGCCTAGTGTTACAGATAAAGAATAAAAACATCCCTCGCTACGAAAATATAAACATATGACGAAGTGGTTTAACCACTAACAATTCACAATAGCACTCGAAACCGTAATAATAGCTGTCAGAAATTTCGTAATGTGTAACCAAACTAAGGAGGTATAAGAAGTGCGTACACTGAAACTGCTGCAGACGATACCTTCAGTAATCAGACCTTACGATTTCTAGGGTCGAATTCTAATAGTCAAAATCTTCAATAACACAGTGGTATGTACGAAAATTATACCCCTGAAGTATATCTGGACTTCAAAAAATTGGGTCCCCGGCTGTTTTGTAATGACGGAGAATTAACATTTAACCACGAAAATGATTGAGAAATTGATACCGGCACATAACCATTATAAATATAAACAATGAAAAATCGATACCCCAGTTCTTTCAATGTGTTAGGAAATATAACCACTGTTGGTTTAAATATTATATATATATATATATATATATATATATATATATATTGGCGAATTCATTTTGATTAGATGCATTCTAAGCATTTATATTGGAGAAATCATATCAGATATGTAGCTTTCAAAGAGATAGCTCCATAAGTACAAGAAATGGCCTACTAGTTCACGCTTTAAGATTAGGCAGAGTGAATATTTAAACCAGAATTGCAACATTTCTACGCTAAAGATTTGAAATGAACGTCAATCATTGCGACTTTCACTGAGTTTCTAAAAACAGGAATTGTTGTATCACTAATCCAAGGAGTATGATAAGCAAATTGATGAGGGAAATCCATCTCTTCGAAGTTCTTTAAGAAGGCAATTGTTAGAAAGGCCTACAATGATCAGGGATGAAAACGAAACAATAAACTGAAAAGTTAGGGTTTTGTAACGTATGTATATAATTAACCACTCATGAAAAGACAATCAAATAGCATTAGACGAAAATATGAAAAGAACTTAATATATTTATGCTGAACTCAATTTAGGAAAACAACTACTAGAGGAATAGATCTAAAAATATAAATCCACTTATATTGGAGAAAAGTGGGATGAATCTTCACGCATCGAACTTTCTGTGATAATAAAATGAGAATATAAAACTTATTTTTATCACAAGATAAAAATGTACGCAATTTCGCCATTATGCTTTGATCTTAAATGTTCTCAATGTTATGAAAAATACAAAACAGGTTATTCCAAGGCTCGTTATTTGCAAAATAAGTTATTGGAAGCATTTCTATGTAAAACTTACGGCAAGGTTTCGAACAGTAATATATGATTCCTTTAAAGAATTTGAAGAACTTTCTAAGAAAGGGAAGAGTTGAGTTTCTTCTGTACAAAGTTCTTTTGCAGGAAGACGACAAATTTGCGAGGCTTTCTCAGCAGGCGTCAGAGTATCTTCGGGTTCTTCCTCAACAGGTTCATCCTCTGCACTTTCACTTTCAGCATCATCCACATCGATATCACCCTCAACTAGACGCCTCCCGGTGGTATTGTTTTCTAACTCAGAATCTTCAAGCTCGTCATCGTCTTCATAAACCTCTACTCTACATTCATCTGACCTTTTACTGGAGCTAGATTTAGGAGGATTCAATTTTGATGCTTTGGTTTCTTCAAGTTCGTTCATCTCTTCCTGCAATTTAAGCAAACACGTTTTGCAAGAAATTAATTCAACACTAGCCATGGACAGCTATAAGATGGTGCGAAAGATCCGTAGAATTATTGGACCTATCTTTCAGATTTTAAATCAATGCACGTCAACCCAAGCATATATATATATATATATATATATAATTTTACATCACACTTCGTAGTTTCACCATGATACAAAATACAGAATTCGTAGAACTTAAGTAGCAAACTATGAATAATACGGAACAGCGAATTCTAATAGCAATTAAAACTATAAAGCTGAAACTTTAAATAAAAAGTAAACCGTCTAGACCTAGGAAAAATGAAACCATGTTAGCCTTAAAGATTGTCTTCGTGTTACACTGCATATGAATTACAACGCTTACTACTTGAAGAAAGCAATAAAACCCAGATGCACTCAAAAAGTCAAAAATTATATCAAATTACAAAGTAGAAATGAAGCTAAAAGTTTTGCTGAAGGCGAAAAGCACTACGATCTGTAATAGAAAACAAAAACGATTACATCTTTATTTATGACAGCACATTCAGTGCGGCTTGGAACAAGCATTGTTTGTACCGACGCATGAGATGGGCGGAAGCCTCGTTTAACACTGCGACCTCGAGGCATGTCTTTGAAAACTGGTTTCACCAGAGTTACGGAACGACCTTCAGACTGAAAATGTTCAAATTGGCAAACTAATGACAATCATTTAAACTAAATTGCATGATTACAGACGTATGAAATCAACATTTATGCATTAGTGACTTGAAGCATAGATCGAGTTTAGTTCTCCTATTTTTTATGAAAGGCGTCTTGAACCAATTAACACTCAGTTTTTCAAACTGAAAACAAAGTCATCATTTTGTGTTAAACAAGTTTTCAGTCTTCAGTAATAAGGATAGGAGGTCTATCGACCTATTTTAATCCTTGCAGTTTGTAACACTGTGGAGGTTCGATCACGTCTTCAACATATTAACAGAAGGTGCTTATATTACGTGTTCTGGTAAGGAATTCCGGTAATTCACTACTAGGTTCGAAAAACGAAACTCCAGACATAGACGATTTGATCTCGGTTTTTGAACTTTCTTCGAATGTCCTCTCAAATGATCAGTCCTAGACTGAAAAAAAGATAGGTCATATCAATACTAAGGTCACCGTTCAGTATGCAATAAGCCGATATTAGATCACCCGGCATTCTACGATAAGATAACGGAAATAAGTTAAGGTGTCTCGGTCTGTCTTCATAAAACAAGCCAGACAAACATTTCACCATTTTAGTCCCTCGTCGTTGGACTCTTTCCAGCTTATCCGCTTCATACTTGAAACAACGATCGCTGCTTGAATCCTATATTTCAAATGTGGTCGCACGAAAGTCTCGTATAATAATCTAAATATTTCATCCATACACGGGAAAGACTTACTAATAGATCATAACACCCTTTGGCCTTTTGCAACAGCAGCCTTACGGTGACTGATAGTTTTGAGATCACTGGTAAGCATGACACCTAAATTTTTATAATTTCCTACTTTGAGTAATAAGAATCCACATATTGTGTAGTGATACGAATCATCGGAGTTATTTTATTGCATCACCACACTCTTGTTAGGATTTACCTCTAGTGACCACCTGTCCATCTATGCCATCAACGGGTCGAGATCATCTTGTAATATAATTTCACCTGACATGCTGCACATAAATCTTCAAATATTATGTCATCGGCAAAGAGTAGAACGGATGATTTTGCCACAGTCGGTAGTTCATTTACATAAAGTAAAAATAGAAGAGGACCGAAGATTGTGCCTTGAGAAACTCCATTTTTACAGGTTCCCACATTGAGAGAGTTCCACTAACATTCACCCTTTATTGCCTGTCACGAAGAAAGTTATTTATCCAATCTACGAATGCATAATGAATACCCAAACACTTCAGTTTTAATTTAAGACCAGAATTGGAGACCTTATCGAAGGCTTTATTTAGACCTATGAAAATCACGTCTACAGGAATATTGCGATAGTTACCAACTAAATCTCTACTTCCAGCCTTATACACCGGACTAGTTATCGCATCTCTCTTGTCCCTGGGCAGTCTGGACTGCCAAGAGACATATCAAACAGTATGACTGTAGGTTCAGCAATTACATCCGAAACGGCTTTCATAATCCTAGGATGAATATCGTTAGGACCTTTGGACTTATCAGGTCCGATGTGCTGAAGTAGTCTCAAGACAGTACCTTTCTCAATAACTACAAAGTCTATCAACAAGTCGTCATAATCAAAATGAATCGTTGGTCGTTTCTCGTTACTGATGTAAAACACCTTACTGAAATAATTAGATAAAGCTACAGCTTTTTGGGTATCATTTCTTGCCAATATTAACTGATTTTCATGTATCAAAAGTGATGGAGTTCCATCGCCTTTCTGAGTTCGCCGTTTTACATACGAGAATAACCGTTTCGGACTATGTTTACAATCCCTAACCAATGGTTTCTCATGTGACCGTCTAGTTTTACTTATTAACCCTTGACAAGCACACCTAATTTGACAATAACTGGATCATTAATTTTATAAGCTAGTAGAGATGAATGCATTCCAGTGCCTTTTCCTACGGCTAAGATGTGTCTTGACTTGCCTACGTCGTAACAGCTATGATATGAACAAGAACGTAATTGAACTAAAGTTGCCTTTAAATATAGATCATGCTTCTTTAACTGGTGAGCTAATATCAACTGACCAATTTGTCTTAGCGGTGCACTCCTGAATGGTTGATAAAAATCGCATGAATTTTACGAATAGTATAAAAGTTCTGGTTAGCAAAGAACCTTTTCCGCAATTTCTTCAGTTTAATTATAAACTTGTCAGGTATTTAATTACAATAAGTGACACAGAGATTTCTCTTTCTAAATGGAACGATTAAATCCGAAAGTGTTTTGCAGATTACGATTTTAAAAAATGTAAATTGGTGTTAACATCACTGGAACAAAAGAGAATTTCACGTCGTTCATTATTTGCTGACGCTGGGACTGGTTGTAACATGCATAGAAGTGGTCGATGTATGCCATGGTGTTGTTGTATGAAAAAAAGTTGTAAAGAACAGGCTTCTGTCGGTCCTTCGTGACTCTCCGGTTGTGGCTTTAGAGATGGTACAACACAATGTCTAGAGATGTTATCAGATATGGCTCAAAACAGAAGTTCAAGTTCTGCTCTCTTCCGTTATTGAAGCACGGTTTGTTGATCTAGTTATAACATACGAACCCAAAATAGCAATAGAACCAAACTCCAATTCAAGAACGAAAGTTTATTCGCAAATAACAAATAATCGACTCAAATGTTGCTCTTTAAATTTTTAGATTCCCGGAGCAAAAACTTCAAAATACCAAACCAAATACAAAGGGAAACCGAAATATCCAAAAATAAAGACATAAACAAACAAGATTAGAGGTTAATTGAAACAAATACATCCGAAAACACAGTGAGAGTATTAATATTCAGTATAAACATTTTTATTCATCCAGATGTCTTCAGTTCTCCTTGCTGTTACTTTCTTTACTTACCTCATAAGAAATTAACGTAACTTCTTCAGCTGGAATAATTCCTTCTGGTTGTTATTTTGCTAACTTAATTATTTCGCATTTATACACTAACAATTCGTTGTTGTTCGCCTTTTTCTTATATGCACTTTATAATCTCTATCTCTTCACACTCATTGTTATTGTGTGACGCATATGTATATGATTCTCTATTCTACCAATACTTATGTGTTCAAATAACTAAATAAATAGTAGTCTCATCGATGTTACCAATCATATAAAAGTGATTGTTTATTTATGATATTGTTTTATGACGATATCCTGGAATCACTGTGAATAACTAATTCGTGATGACTGATGATTAGTCAGTAGGAAATAGGTTTATTTATTTTAGTTTATTTCCAAATTTCAGAATTTTGTAAAGTTGACGGACAGTTTGTGCGTTATGACGTTATTCAAATATTTCCTCAAAAAGTACTCTAATTAATAGCAGGATTCGGAAATTAATTTGAATTATTATTTGACTCCCAACTACTTGGAAGACCTGTCACAAAATCAGAGAAGTGAAATGATACTCTAATGCGGTGATGTACCACCAGAACTACAACGCATAAAACCCGTACGAGAAGTGCAGAGTCTCTGCCAGTCCTGCTACCTGTTAAATCCAGAACACCAATCTCAGCCTCTGAGATATGAACCATGTATTTCAAACATACTGGGTTTATTTACAAACCAAACACACCACATCGTACCATAAAATGGAAAATAACATTTGTACAAGATCTAGCCAAAAGTGGCTGTCAGTGTGAAAGACTGCAATGGATAGACTGGGCATAACTCAAGAATGGTAAATCGCATAATAATAGTTCATAAGTCAAAATAAACCTCATAATAAGAGGGACACGAAGATGAATAGTTTAGTTACTTGACAATTATGCGATAAAAAATACGTATATTAATATTCCAGAAATAGATCCCAACAGTTACCATTCATTATACTAATTGGGATATAACACCTCCTCTTTTTGGAGACCCAAAGTTGATGTCCGGACTTTAAATTTTCCGACTTTATACTCCCTCAATAAATAATGTTGGATCATCATTACCTCAAGTTACAGTTAATTAGACTTTAAAAAATATTTGTCTCATTGAACAGAGAATCCAGTAAAATTGACCAGATGGTGATAATAAACGCCATTTGATTTGAGATAATCAGAGTTTGATTCTTCCGAAATACTGCTATCAAATTTATTAGAAACCTCATTAGTAGATAATGGGTCGTTAGTGTAATAAGCATCTATCGAAATTATATTGGGTTTCTAGTCATCGTTTGATGCATCCGACATATTTCTCTCATTTTTGTAAGAAATTTCGTCGAGACATGTGAGCCATTAAGATAACTCACACCTGGTAAAATAACTAGAAAATATCGATGGGTAGATTCATCAGAAACTTTGTCGCAGAATGATGAGTTCCATTTGGTGCAACTGTATTCATTATACTACTCGATTTATTTCCTGTTTCTTCGTGCACGACTTCATGAGCATTTAACAAGACACCGTCTTTTTGTGAGCTGGGCAAGTTTCTGCTTCTGCATGATATTGGAGAAAATGGGATTTGAACTCACTATAAGGTATTTCTCTGAAATGGACATAACTAATTCATTGGGCAGATCATGTATGACTGCTACATATTCGTTTAAATTACTGCTTGTCAAGGATTCATGGAGGCTTTCACCGAAACATTCATTCATTCAGCAATAATTTTCGATCTCTGTACGCAAATTAAAAATTAATTCAATAACTTCTGTCACATCTCCAAAGCATGGATGATTCAGCAGATATGTGCGTAAATTATCTATAAATTCCAACTGTCTAATTTAAAATGCCGCTGTTGTCACTGGAATAGCAACTGCTATTGCTCGGGAGAGATAGCCGTTTTCTGTTTCTGTATGAATCAGCACGGTAATAAATTGCAAGTGTGTACATGGAAGAATTTTCACACACAAGTCATTCAAAATGGATCTTACACCGGCCCGCGAAATCCCTCCGTACAACACAAGCCACTTTTATGCCTATGGTCATGGTTCAAACTACAACATGTTCTACTACACAGGAACGAGCAGGACTTACAACAGTACGCTTACTCGACCTACCTACATTGATAATAACAAAGAACTAATTCGAACCTTCAAGGAGACATACCTGATCTGATCAGTTAAAATCTGTAGCCTCGTGATGAACAATAACAGTCGGCGTAT